CTCCGTCTATAGTTCTTGAGGCACTCCGTCTATCAGATCTAGTCCCTTAAATCTATTTCTCACTTCCACTGTATAGTCATAAGGGATTTGATTTAGGTCATACCTGAATTGTCTACTGATTTTCTCCACTTTCTTCAATTTCAGTCTGAATTTGGCAATAAGGAGTTCATGATCTGAGCCACAGTCAGCTCCTGGTCTTGTTTTTGCTGACTGTATAGAGCTTCTTCATCTTTGGCTGCAAAGAATACATCAGTCTGATTTCTGTGTCGACCATCTGGTGATGTATGCCAGAGGCCATCACAATATTGTAATTATTCTCCAATTAAAGTTAAAAAAATTTTTTGTGACATTTAAAAAAAAATTTTCTCCTTCTGACACCTCCATAATGAATGTGAATGTTGGTATGCCTGATGTAACTTCAGAAGTTTCTTAAACAGTCACCAGTAAAAAAATTTTCCTGTTTTCTTTTTAACTTGGGTGATTTCTACTATTCTGTCTGTCTTCTAATTCACTGAACCATTCCTCTGTATTATCTAATTTCCTATTGATTCTTCTGGTTTATTTTTATTCATTTATTGTATTCTTCAGCTCTGTTTGGTTCTTCTTGATATTTTCTCTTTGTTCAACTTCCCACTATTTTTATCCATTCTTCTCCTCTTCTCTGTTCATCGAATATCTTTATGGACATTACCTTGAGCTCTTTATCAGGTAAATTGCTCATCTCAGGTTTTCTTAATTCATCTTTAGGGCCTTTTTTCTCTGTTTGGAACATTTTCCCCTGTCTTCTCACTTTACTAGGTTCTCAATGATTATCTCTAAGTACTGGGTAGTTCTAAGTTACGTTTCCTGATCTTGGATAAATGAATTGATGTTAGAGATGTCCTATGGCGCCCGGCAGCACAGTTCCTTCTAGTCATCTTAGCTATATGCTTTAGGAGTCTCCCCCACCCAACCCCGCAATCTGGGCTGCAGGGCCCTTCTGTTGTGATAGGTCAGCTACTGTGAGCACATTTTTAGGCAAGACTGGCCCTTGCCCATTTGGCTGCCTAACCCTGCCTTGTATAATGGCTACCATTCCTCTTGTGGACAAGGTCTGGTCCTAGAGCAGCTACCTGTGCACCTGAGGTGTTTTCAGGGATGGTTCCAGACTTCTTGTGATGGGATTGAAGGAAAGTTGCATGGCTCAAAATAGCCTGGAGTTAAGACTCCCCTCCAGGTCCTCCCCACCATTCTATGCAAAATATATGCAAAATAAAGAACTCTCTCACCTGAAGAAAAAAATGGACATTAAGGTTGATTATGTCCAGCTCCCAGCTGGTCCAGCTTTTAGCCAATCTCCAAAATTCCTTGCCCCAGCTGTTTAAGAGGTAACTACTCCGAACAACCTTGGAGAAGAACAGGCCCCCTTAAAACAGTAACTTTCCACATACATGCCTATATTTACTTACTCTTTTCTTGGATAAGTGCAGGAGCTCGCTAATCTGACTGCTGCCCCTTCTCGCCTCATTAAAGGTGATCTGTTCCTGTTAAGTCTGTAAAGTCCTGTAAAGGTCTCAGTCTCATTCTTTTTCTGAACCCCGCCTTCTCTAACTCTCTTACCTTACGGGGATCGTTTCCCAGCGTAACTGGATATGTGGCTTAGGGGCTTCTGGGGCTGATTCTGACCTGGCGGTGGGCAGGGCTCGATCCTAGAGCAGCTGGCTGGATAGCCTGATCAGGGAGTTTCCTGGGGATGGTAATGGCTTGGAAGTCTAGTGGGCAGGCCCTGGAACCAGTACGTGAGAGGGAAGCCTCCAAAATGGTGCTTTCCAGAACCAGTGCTTCTGTGGTAGAAGTAGATCCCAAATGCAGCTGCTGCTGGTTCCCAGGGCGAGTCCCAATTTCCTACTGCCTCCAGTGGCTCTGCCAAGATTGGCAAATAAGTTTGACTAGGCTCCTTTCAAATTATTGACTTTGTGGTGGGTCTCAGAGCATGTGAGGTTTTTGTGGGGTATTTGCTTTAACCTCCCTGCTCTCTAGTATACAAACACTGCAGGCCTTCAAAGTCAGACATTTTGGAGACTCTTCTTCCCAGTACAGGACCCTTGAGCTAGACAGTCTTATGTGTGGCTCAGACTACTTGCTTCTTGGGGAGAATATTCTTCAGTTATTATCCTTCCTTTTGTGAATTGCCTCCCTGATGTATGAATCTTCACACTACCATGTCTCTCGCTTCCTTTTTTATATCTGGAGTTGTTAAAATATCTTCTGTTAGTCTTCAGGTGGTTCTCATAGATGCTTGCTCTTTCAGTGGTTATAATTTTGGTATGCTCTTGGGAGAAGGAGAGCTCAGGGTTTTTCTACCATGCCATTTTGGTCACAACCCTAATTGTCATGTTTCTTAACCAACATTGGATCTTCCAGCAGCCCTCCTACTTGTAATTTCTCTAAGCCTAAGCATAGAGAACTGAAAACCTTTTAATACTGTTTTTCACTTGAGGAACAAGATGTTTTTGTGGAGAACTTAAGTTTGTTTTCATTCTGGCTTGTTACTTACTGGAGATTTTTTAAAATACTAAGCCACAGGTTACAGATAGTCTAAACTGGCTTTGACCCATTCCAGCTTGGGACTTCCCTCGTGGCTCAGCAGTAAAGAACCCACCTGCAATAGGAGATATGGCAAAAGCCACAGGTTTGATTGCTGGGTCAGCAAGATCCCCTGGAGAAAGAAATGGCAACCCACTCCAGTATTCTTGCCTGGAAAATCCCATGACAGCCCATGGAGTCTCAAAAGAGTCAGACAAACTTGTTGGCTAAACAACAACAGCATTCCAGCTTATTTTAAATATTTTTAAAATGAGGCTTTGTTAACTTAAGCTATTACTTCTTAAAACCTACTCAGATCTAGTTTTAAGCTCTCCTGTTAATCTTTATGGTTCTTGCTACTTCAAATTTTTGTCCAAGTTATTCTTAAAAAGAAAGGCTTCATGAATGTCCTTGTATAGAGCATTTCCTATGCCGTTTGCCATTTAGGGGCATTTTAGAAATTATGCACAAATGAATTATTTAAATCCTATCTTGATCTTTTCCCACCCAGTTTTTCCACAACAGTTAAGTGAATCATTTTGTCTAGAACAGGTAGAGTCTAACAAAATCTTGAATTCTGAAGCAGATTTCTCTTTTCATGACGATTAAGAAAACCCTTAATTATTAACTTCTGCTCATGTCTAAACCATGGTTTAATTTAACACTGATATTCTGCCTTGTGGATATTATGAAACATGATTCTTTCTTTCCTGAGAAAAAAGTGAGAAAGGGTAGCTTTCTTAGGGTGTATGGGAATAAGAAGAAATACAAAGGGTGGAATTAGATTGAAGATAAATTTATGTCGAGAGAAAGACTGATTTAGTCTTGAAAAAATGTGAGGTAGCTACTGCTTCCTTCTCCTGAGAGAGAACCTTCTACCATTTACTTCACCAACAAGTGATCTGAAATTGGAAAATGATGGTAAAAGTAGCCATCTACTAAGTTTAGTATAGGCAATATCTGTATGGACTGGGCTTCCCTGGGCTTCCCTGATAGCTCAGTAAAGAATCCGCCTGTGATGCAGGAGACCCTGGTTCGATTCCTGGGTCAGGAAGATCCACTGGAGAAGGGATAGGCTGCCCACTCCAGTATTCTTTGGCTTCCCTTGTGNGATGGTGTGATCACTCACCTAAAGCCAGACATTCTGGAATGTGAAGTCAAGTGGGCCTTAGGAAGCATCACTACGAACAAAGATAGTGGAGGTGATGGAATTCCTGCTGAGCTATTTCAAATCCTAAAAGGAGATGCTTTGAAAGTGCTGCACTCAATATGCCAGCAAATTTGGAAAACTCAGCAGTGGCCACAGGACTGTAAAAGGTCAGTTCTCATTCCAATCCCAGAGAAAGGCAATGCCAAAGAATGCTCAAACTACCACACAATTGCACCCATCTCAAAAGGCTAGCAAATTAATGCTCAAAATTGTCCAAGCCAGGTTTCAACAGTACATGAACCATGAACTTCCAGATGTTCCAGGTGGATTTAGAAAAGGCAGAGGAATCAGTGATCAAATTGCCAACATCCATTGGATCATCAAGAAAGCAAGAGAGTTCCAGAAAAGCATCTATTTCTGCTTTATTGACTCTGCCAAAGCCTTCAACTGTGTGGCTGACAACAAACTGTGGAAAATTCTTCAAGACATGGAAATACCAGACCACCTTACCTGCCTCCTGAGAAATCTGTACGCAGGTCAGAAAGTAACAGACATGGGGAAATGGACTTGTTCCAAATCAGGAAAGGAGTATGTCAAGGCTGTGTATTGTCACCCTGCTTATACCAGAGTACATCATGCAAAATGCCAGGCTGGATGAAGCACAAGCTGAAATCAAGATTGAAGTGAAGTTGCTTAGTCGTGTCCGACTCTTTGCGACCCCGTGGACTGTAGCCTACCAGGCTCCTCCATCCATGGAGTTCTCCAGGCAATAATACTGAAGTGGGTTGCCATTTCCTTCTCCAGGGGATCTTCCCGACACAGGGATCAAACCCAGGTCTCCCGCTTTGCAGGTATACACACACAGCAAGGAAGGCAAGTAAGTGATAGAGCTAGGATTGAGTCCAATTAAGCTTGAAACCAAAGTTCTTTTTTTTGCACTACGCATAACTAGAACAGTGAGAGAAAATGTGGGAAACCAGTGAAACTAAAACTGAATTATATTACCTTGAGTTTAAAAAGAGGTTGAAAAGGAAGCTCAGGAGGAAAATAGGAAGACCCTTCAGTTCAAATACAGCAGATTCTATTACAGAATAAATCTTTGAAAATACCATCACTACCTATGGAGATTACATTTCGTTTCTCTTCTTGGCTACTCTTATCTCTGGACCAGTATTTCAGAAGACTTGGTTGGTTGAATAGTAGTGGACCAACATGAAGGTAGGGCTTGGTGTGGGGCTAAAAGCATGAGAATTGGAAAATACTTTTCATAGGAGCTAATGTTTTCTCTGATATACTTATTTTTAGATCAAACCATTTTTCAATATGAAACCTCTATCAAAGGCTGATAGGGAAAGAGCAAGAAATCAGAAGATTCCAAAACTAAGTGAATTATTGGAAATTGCACGGAAGGCGAACAAATTGGTGATATTTGATCTTAATTCTCCTCCACGTTCACATCCTGCCAGATCATCGTATATTCGCCTTGTAGTAAGAGTGATCCTTGACTCTAAGATTGAGCAACATCTGGTACGTCTATCTCAGTATTTATGGTAGAGGTTGGGAAGTGGGTAGCATAGCATTTGAACCTGAACTACCTTGTAATCTTCCCTGGAAGGGTTCTACTCCCTGTAGAAAATGGAGTTGGCTGCTTATATAGCTACTGGGTTGGCCAAAACTTCCTTCAGTTTTTAAGTAAAAATGAAAGACACATTTTATTTTTACCAAGAGGTTTATTGAATAACATATCCACTGTTTTGTTTCACTATAAAAGAGGTACAGGTACACTCTCAGTCATGTCTGACTCTTCTCCACTCCATGGACTATGACCTGCTGGGTTCTTCTCTCCATGGAATTTTCCAGGCAAGAGTACTAGAGTGGGTTGCCATTTCCTACTCCAAGGGATCTTCCAAACCAAGAGATCAAACCTGTGTCTCTTTCATCTCCTGCATTGGCAGGCGGTTTCTATACCACTGCGCCACCTGGGAGGCCTTATCTTTTGCCACTTTTCAAGCAACTTCATAATTTATTTAATCTTCCAAACACTTCTTATCTTTTGGGGCAGAACTGTTCCAGGTAGCATTTACAGCTTTCCAGGGAATGGAAATTTTTTCCATTAAGAGAATTTTGTAAATACCAAAATAAATGGAAATCCAAAGATGCAATGTCTGGTGAATACAGCAGATGAATCAGAACTTCCCAGCTAAGCTGTAACAGTTTTTGCCTGGTCATCAAAGAAACATGCGATTTTGCATTATTCTGATGAAGGATTATTCATTTTCTTTTTACTAATTCTGGTTGCTTGTTGTCGAGTGCTGCTTTCAGTTGGTCTAATTGGGAGCAATACTTGTAAAATTAATCATTTGATTTTCTGGAAGGAGCTCATAATAGAGAACTCCCCTGCCCCCTCCCAATCCCACCATACACATTATCACCTTCTTTGGACGAAGACTGGCCTTTGCTGTGCTTAGTGATAATTCATTTTGCTCGCCCCATGGTATCTTCAATTCCACATTATTGTACAGTATCCAGTTTTCATCTCCTGTCACAACATGTTTTAAAAACAGAACATTAAAAAAAATTTTCATTGTTTCAGTAGAGAATTGCTTGCAAAAATACCTTCAAGAAGGTTTTTTTTTTTTCCTCTTAATTTATGTGGAACCCAAACATCAAAGCA